GTGCAGTACAGTACATGCCCCACAATCATCTGTGCTAATTAGCTAGCTAATTGAAGAACGGTTGGGGTTTAATTTAAAAACATTTAGAGATGGAATTGTTCGCTACATTCAACACAATGGAATCGTATTTACATAAGAATTGAAAGAGAGGAAACCTATTAGTTACCAAAGTATCTTGAAAAATATACAGGAAGTTATCTTTCGCAAGCTTTAACCCTTCCGAATGTATGTACATGATTGAGAATGACTGGCCTAGAAGTGGCGGGAAAAATGATGACGCAATTCCACAGTTACTGGTCTTTTTCTAGGGTGCTTTCCACTTCAGTGCCAGTGTGAAATACGGATATTCATGCATACTGTATGTTCTATGTTACTTTTTATACCCCAACAGTACCCAGGAAAGCTGGAGACTGGTGAAACAACCACCATCCTTTGAAACATCGTCTTGTTGATTTCTGTTCTTGATTTGTTTGTCCGACATCCGCAGCAGAAGAGACCTATTGGGGTTTATTGTTCTTTCAGGTGTGCTGAGTCGAAACCAGGAAGAGGCTTTGCTTAAGGAGCTGATGAGGGGCTACAACAAGAAAATACGCCCCGTGGAAAAGGAAGGAGATGTGACCCAGGTCACACTGAAGCTGACCCTCACCAATCTCATCTCACTGGTGAGCAGGGGATTTACATCCTTGTTACTGACATATAGCTTTTTTTTAAAAAACATGTTTTTTATTTTTTTATTTATACATAACAAAATAACAACAATTACAATACAAACAAGAGTACATATAACATTTCAAGACAAAAACATCGTCAGGGGTACATATTACAAAATAAATTCAAATTATGAAAAAAGATTAAACAAATTAAATAAAAATAACGTCCGCACCGCTTTCATTTTTTTTACATTTTGAAATAGTCTGCAGATACTCCTTAACACTGACATATACTGTAGCTTTGAACAATTTTTTGACATTTTGAGCCTTTGTTGTAGTGGTCCTGACCATTTATAAAGCATGGGAGACCTGATTATGTTGATGGTTTTCTGGTCTCAATTTAGAGCTTTGACCAGAGCAAGTCTAATGTAATAGGAAAGATATATGCATGGCTCACAGCATGGCTGTAACATTTACATTCAGTTAAAA